TTTACTTACTTTTATTGTCCCAGATGGGAAAGTTGCTTTGCAGGCAGGTAAAAGACTTAATAAAATACACAATACATTTAAAACAACATGAACCCATTAACAAATAAAAAATATACATGTATTAGAAGAAAGAAAAATTATATTGGATAAATAACATAAAATATATAGTTGTCTAAAGTTAAGCAGGTTGATGACTTTAATGATTGACCAAGGACTTAATTAAGTAACATAAACCCAAAAATCCCTTTGATCATTGTCTCTCTGACCACCTACAGCTCAGTAAACATTTTGTCTTCTACTTATTGTTTTTTAGACTGAGACATGCAATATTTTAAGATAATACATTTAAGATAATAAATAAGATTTTTTTTGTTGTAAAAGTGCACCCTGTGGCTTGAAATAAAAGATTGGTAAATTACATGGAAATACTGCATTCATCCTTGTCATCATAATCTGATTGTAACTATTTACCTTAATTAGCATAAATAACAAGTTTGACAATTGCAAGTATATTAACTTTTTACATAAAACATTGAACAAAATGGTTTACTGTAGCTTCTTATTAACTTGCTCTCATCATACAGTACCAATCATGCCATACTAGAATATGCCCCTGTGCATAAAGAACACACAGATTACCTCAGTTTATCTATACGCAAATGCTGCAAGTGCTTCTCCAACTATGTGGTTACAGTCATAGCTTTAGTAATCCATCAAGACATCCTTGTGCTGAATTACTTAGAAAACTTCCTTCTTCCCAGCCAGGCTTGTCTAAAGCTGCTCTTGCAAAACTTTGCCTAGGTCAGTCTGGTGGTTAATGTTGAGGAAAGTGTTCTGTCCAGCAGACATGAAGGCAATCCTTTAGAACATGTGTCACGGGTCATGGTTAGATTTACTGTAGCAGTTCTCTCTTGCTTTACCCCTGATCTGCCACCAGTGATATTCCTGTTGGGCTTTCTTGTGTGTTGGTGTTGGCACTTCCTCTGTGAGATCCTGTGAGGTCACATCAATCACCCAGTGTTGTCAGACACATATCTCCTGAGTTTGGAAGTGTGGTGAGACCCAATCAATATCTTTTTAGACATCTTCTTGGTGCCGATATTCAGGCAGGAGGTCTAAATGTTAGTTAGAGTTCAAGGTCTTGTTCAGGTGCAAGAAACCCACGTCTGGGCTTAGGCTCACCTGTTTTCCCTCTGAGGCATTTGTCTTCCAGGTGCAATCAACACTGGTAGCCATTGTCCATGGAAGACTGGATGTACTGCAGATACTATGGAGATGTACTGTACGTGCATCCATTGATGGTCTGTAAGAATTGCTATTGCATCATAGATGGAAAGAGTTACAGTACCTGTTCATGAGACAACACACTGCCTCTACTGTGATCTACTGACATCAATACATACAGTATACAATACTAGGATTTACAATGCATACTGACCATGGTATTCTTAGAATAGCGTTGTATCTTGCACACTGGCAGGTGACCAGAGCCTGAGACACTGTCTCTTACCAAGTCATCTATATAGTCCTTTCTCCAGTGACTGTTTGATAGAGCGTGTATGATGATATGTTATGATGTGTTGGTTGGGGAGTCACATGGCAGCAATAATTCTGGCTCCCCTCTTCTGTCACTGACAGCCTGAAGGGATTTTCGTGTTAGCTATTAGAGTGCACTGTTCCCAACTTTGCTTTTCAAATGTATCATTTCCCAGTTTTCCATTGGAGAAGCAGCCTTTCCTCTCCCAGTGGTTTGTGGGTTTATATGGTTTGGACCCCTATGTTTTGGGCCCTCTATCATGGCTCTTCTTGCCTGTTATTGACAGGAGTTTTACCTTTTTCTATTTGCCCTTTTTCTGGACTGAGTATGATAATATAAGAGGGCAGAAGTTTTAAACAGAATGGCAGCCCTTATCTGGACCACATCAACAGCTGCCGGATGACAGTTGTTTAGGTGAGAGTATACTGTCTGGGGGCCAGAGAGTGCATGTGATGCTATGAGGGGCCATGCCATCAAGGGGCGTTACTTTCCCCAGGGACCCCTGGATTTTTCTGAAGCTTTCCCTCTACTTAAGATGATGGACCGCAGTAGATGGCAGCAATCACCAGAGCAGGCATCTGCTTTGCACCCTGCTCCAGACCACATGAATAGAGCACCGAAACTAGACAGATCAGAGATGACTGGGAGAAGAAGTAGGAGCACAAATGACATAAGACTTTCAAATCAGCCTTTGCCCTTGCACAGACTGCTGTTCTTTCCTGTTGATCCTACCTCTGGGATGAAGCCTTCAGCTATAACCACTACAATCAGAGCTGAAGAGCAGGTTTTCTGCTACTATAACAACTACTTTACTACAGTGCAGGCAGTCTGTATTTTTCCACTACAGCCACGGAGCTGCAGACCTCAACCTTAAGGCTGTTTTATAAATCTCCGGGCTGAAGAAAAGCTGTCGGTGCGGCAGCAACTCTAACACAGCTTAGGCTGCTGATTCCACAAAACCGGGCTGAAAACTCCAGCTCCCCAGTTGTTTTCACTAACTGCCTGGGTGAGGAATGGCTGTGCTACCACTGCAACTGAAGCCTATTTACACTGTTGGCTCACTGACACAGCCATGGGGATTTAGACTGCAGTCTCAAGACACCCTATGCACACCTCGATTACTCCTTGGCTTCCTCAAGCTGGACATCCACAACCAGTTGCTGTGTTGAACATGAGCCATATTATACACAGTTCCAAAGAATAAGCCACCATTTAGGACTTGTGTATGGGCTCTCTGGCCAAGGCCCCACCTGGAACCTGGAACCCTGTTGTGAGCGACCCTATCATCACCGGAGGAAGAAGGATTCACTGTCCATGCAATTGTGAAACTGTGAGTTTTGGAGTGCCTTTGAATGAGTTTTTGAAAATAGTCTCAAAGAGAGACTTCTACATTTGGAAGAGTAGGGTGAGACTGAGGTTTTTGTAGTCATGTTTTGAAGAGTTGTTTGATTTTCTGGCTAGTAAGCATCTTTGCTGCCCAGCATGATCTTTAGGGACTGAAGTTATCACAGCTCTAACATCCTGGGTTCAAATTCAGATCCACCCAAGTGGAGTTTGTATGTATTTTCTATGAGCACTTCTGTTTCCTCCCACAATCTGACATATTGTCCAGATTAATTACAATCTCTGAATTGTCCCCACTATGCATGTGTGAGCCGATGCCAATGCTATACGGTAGCATTGCTGTCTCACAGCAGCACTGGGGCCATGGGTTCAGTTCCTGGGAGGGGAATCTGCATGGAGTTTGTGTCTTTTCCCCATGTTCACATGGGTTAACTGGCTTCTGGGAAAAACTGGCCCCCTGGTATGAGTGTGTGTGTGTTTGTATGCCCTGTGATGGAGTAGTGTCCTGTACAGTGTGTATCCTGCCTTGCATCTGTTGCCTGCTGGGACAGGCTTCAGTATCCCCTGCAAGCCTGTATTGGATAAAGCGGTTGTGCATGTGTGAGTGAATGCGTACATGTGTGCCTAACAATGGATTGTTGCCCTATCTGTGGGGTTTCAATCCTCTAAGGATGTAGTAGTTTAAGTAGAAATTAATGGGATTTGAAAGTCTCCTTTAATAGAAATAAATACAAATTAAGTAATACAATATACAGTATATTGCAACATATTTGGTAGACATTTTATATATTTATATTCACATTTTCTGCTATTCAGATAATATCATTTCAGTGTGCACAATAATTCATCATACTTATAATAAAGATACTGTATAGAAATGTAGATGTAGCACTTTATTTACACATTCAATTCTTTCCATTTTAAGGCACTTTTCAAACCTCACCCAGATCAACTAATCTAAGGGCTTATATGTCCATGTGGTCATTCTGGTGCATGATTCAAAAAGGGTTGTATTTTTAAACAAATGCAAATTTATACTTTCTTTCACACTTGTATTCACACAGTAAATTTCTTTCTCTAGCATATTATGACACAATGTTATTTTGGTTTGGAATGTCACATTCTGGTTTCTGTTATACTGGCAGTTTCATCTCACACTGCAGCCTGGAATGTGGCTGGCCTCATGCTCAGTGCCTTTCCTACTGTGGCAGACTAAACAGAACTTCTGTCTGACCTACCAGCACAGCCTGCTGCAGCCCTCCTGTACATTTGACCAGGTCACTGTCTCTGTGTTACTCAGTCCACAATGGGAAGGCTGAGGGGGTCAGAACGCAAGCCTGAACCCGTTAATTTGCAGTATTTGCAAAGCAGAATCAGCATGATCTTCATCACGAGTCTGGTGGAGGTTCTTATTTGGTCAGCTACCATTCAACCATGTTCTAAATGGTTGACTCTATCACTAAGGAACTATCCCAAGTCAGAATTTTACTTTTACTGGCCCAGTGTCAATTTAGATATTGTAATATACAGTATATTGTGTGTTGCTGCCTACTGTTTGTGATACAGTGAAGCAATTTCTTTATGTTCTGCCGCATAGATGAGTTTTCCAACTTGCTTACTAATAAAAGCTAGATAGGTCAAGCTAATCTTGTCATAATACCAACCGATGAACATTGCTCCTTTCATGTGCAGGTTTATTTCCGCTTACATTAATAAAGCATCTCCGTGATAAAGGTGCAGTATCACAGTAGAATGTGACAGCTATGCTCTATTAATCAATAGTTTCATATTGTGAAGTTCTATTTAACCCACAGCTGAAAACCCCACGTTAAACTTTGTGTATATTGTACTCATGCTAAAAAGGAAGACTGCCTCACAAATCTTATAACTTTAAAATAATGATATATCTTTAGTAGTATTGGTTCTTTTTCATAAAAAACATAATCCTAAAAGGATGACAAAAGCCTTAAAATGCAGATTCAATAACAACACTTTCTGGATATAATTGATCTAGCCTGTACTTGTAAAAAGGTTATTATCCAATGTTTCACCTGGGGAGAATGTATAAGATGTATTAAGATACTTAATAAACTTATAAAACACCTGCTGAAAACTAAAAAATTATTACCAGTTCTTATAAGACTGCTGTGTACCTTTATAAAATACCAATGTTTTATACATTAAATAGGGTAAACTGCACTAGAACAAGAGATCTATACAGTATTTTTCTTAGAAAGATTTTAAGGAAAAGTAATTTTTGTGCAACTCAGACATTTCTATTTTCTATTTCTATTTTGTTACAGTCAGGAAGCGTTAATCAGGACCCTATGCAGACTGTAGAATCCGGAAGGGAGTGAATCAGACATAGGGGAGAGAGGACTGGGAATGGGGCTGGTAGACGAACAGGGGGGGGGCGTGTCGACAGTGCACTGGTGCTCGGGAGGGCGTGGTCCAGGCGAAAGTCCAAAGGGAGTATAAAGGAAATTCCAGGGTGAAAGCAAAAGTCCAGAACCAGGTAATCCATCCACGACGAACAAGACAAAAGTTAAAAACCGGAGCGGATGTCACGAATGTCGGAAAGGACGAACCATGGAATGACAGGAGAGTGAAAAGACCCTATGCGTAGCAGTGAGACGGGGGTTAGCCGGGCTCAGCTGTTCAGGGAATGCCGTATAGAAACCTATGCCCTCAGGTAGCGGACATGGGGCGACTTGGTGCTAGGCGGATTTCAGGACTTATAATCGTGACAGTTACACATGTATTAAATTGGTAGGTAAATCAATTAGATTAGATAATTAAGAGCAGTTTAAGAAAGGACATGGCTTTTGAAATAACTACTGTATTTTGTACTTTATGACCTTGTAGAAGTAATAAAGAATTGTATTTGAAAGCTTTCATGAAATAGTTTAGGAATTTATTTGGTCTCATTCTGTGAATGTAGAATTGTATGTTAACTAACAAGCATACAAATTTAGTATGTACTTGGTCAGATGTGCATATTGAAAAGATAATTGTTCTTATAAGTTTGAATTGACAGTAACTGTTATTTTGTTTAAAGTTCTGTTTGTGTGTGTTATACACCCTGACGAAGGTGCAACTGCATCAAATCATTGGCTTTTAATCCTATTTTTATGAATTGACACAAAAACAGTTTTATCCAGTCTTCTTATACAGTATGTGTTGGATATGAGCTCACTATTTTCTCTGTTGTCAATTAATATTACATCATAAATTATATAAAGTACTACTACATGTTCTGACCTATTGAAAAGTGAAAGATCTGAAATCCAAATATTTTTGTAACCACTAAATTGCCAAAAACACAACCTGAACAAAAAATGTGGTTGTTTTCACTGTCTAAAAAAACAGCAAAGTTAAATAAAAAATAAATGATTTACATGTGTAATATTATAAAATTCTTTTTTCTCCTTTTAGAAGAAAATGAGTGAGTGCCCCTTTAAAAAGGTTTCTCAGACTCCGTAACTTAAATTTCATCCGTCACTCTTTATCCCCCTACATATGTGAAGTAGATTAGAGGTTCCCCTTCCAGAACAAAGAAAGAACCCATTGACTCACAGGCAGTCTTCCAGCAGTGCCTCCTGTTCACCAGACAAAGGGACAGAACTGTACTTTTTAGTAGCAAAATAAACATCTTTGAAAGAATACCAATACAGGAGCAATCATGATATATTTTAAATTTAAAAAAAGAATGTAATTTTTTTTATGGTTTCTGGAAACTGGAACACATCACCAAAGTCTACACTAATTAAAATCTGTAACTCATTGACTCAAGATCAGAGGTGGTAAGTATTTTTTTTTTGCTCTTTGAGACTTTCCTCACAAACATTCTAAGTTCATTCAGCATTAATTAAATGGTTTTCAATTAAGGAATTGTTTCACTGAACAAATGAAAGTGAATGCGTAAATGATTCTGTTAGAAAATGTGTCATTATCAGCATATTGTATGTTTTATGCTATTAAATATTTCTTGTATGTATAAAAATAATAGTTTTAAATGTAAGTTGTGTTTTTCTTCCTATGTTTAAATCTGCTGTGTGCCTGGGGGAACAGTGCAATTGACTGCTATACCTTTTACTCCTGAGAAAAATAAATCTTTAGAAGAAAAATGTATTTTTTCTTAATCAAACCTGTGAGATGCAATATAATTCAGTGGGTTTTACCAAATGTGTTGAAGAATGTAGTCTTAAATTACTAGAAATAACCTTGGTTACTACTGAGAGATATTTGTGAAATAATCACTTGGTGTGCAATGTGAACAATAGTCCCTCATAATGTGGTATCTCAGTAACTAAAAAGTTTATGATTAAGTCCAAATAATCCCACATTAATTAAATTACATGTTACAAAATCTGGCAAACATAAGGTTTTGAAAACTGGTATAAATACTTATACAGAGAGTCTAAACATGATCATTTTCTTTTTCATAAATAGGCTTGATTTAAAAAACTAAATGGGAAATCTTGCTTGTAATCAGTATGTTCAGTAGTTTGGTCAAATTTTAATAAAGGAATAAGCCAATAATTATTAAAGGATACCATGCTTAATACTTCGGTTTTAATATGCTGAGGAAATGACAGTTCTAGCATGAAACAGACGTAGGAAAACAGCTACTGCTTGCTAAAGGGTCTTAGATGGAATAATAATAATAATTGCTTACACTTATATAGCGCTTTTCTGGACACTCCACTCAAAGCGCTTTACAGGTAATGGGGACTCCCATCAACCACCACTAATGTGCAGCATCCACCTGGATAATGCGACGGCAGCCATAGTGCGCCAGAACGCTCACCACGCTCACCACAGCTATTATTGGGGAGGAGATCAGAGTAATGAAGCCAATTCATAGACAGGGATTATTAGGAGGCCATGATTGATAAGGGCCAATGGGAAATTTGGGCAGGATGCTGGGATTATACCCCTACTCTTTTACGAGAAACGCCCTGGGATTTTTAATGACCACAGAGAGTCAGGACCTCGGTTTTACGTCTCATCCAAAGGACGGCGCCTGTTTACAGTATAGTGTTCCCCTCACGATACTGGGGCATTAGGACCCACATAGACCGCAGGGTGTGCGCCCCCTGCTGGCCCCACTAACACCACTTCCAGCAGCAACCTTAGTTTTTCCCAGGCGGTCTCCCATCCAGGTACTGACCAGGCTCACACCTGCTTAGCTTCAGTGGGCTACCAGTTGTGAGTTGCAGGGTGATATGGCTGCTGGAATGGATGAGAACGCATTACAAGTGGAACCCTCAAAAGAAGAAATATCAGTTAAGTATGTGAATGGAAGCTTTTGCAGTTGAGGGGCGATACAGCACTAGTTGGACACCAACTGATGGAGGGGTAACTATGGAGGATTAAAAAGGGAATACCCACTGCTGTAGCAGCGTGGGCTGCAGGCTCTAGCTCTGAGAAGGAGGATCCGGTGCAGGCTGACACTGTGCACTCTCACTCGTGGGACAGAGTGGCAGTCAGCAAACAGGGGCCCTGTGGGCAGCAAAAAGAAGGACTGGGGCAAAGGGAGAGATAAAACAACAGATATAGACTGGTGCAAAGGGTTGGACACTCAATCAGAAACAGAGTGAAAAGTGATGAAGAGGAGATAACTGGGTAAGTGGAATTAGGAAGAGAGAAGGGAAGGAAAAGGGAAAGACAGATTGTCCACAGCTGTTCAGAGATTCTGGAAGTCTTAATTTTAGAACATTAACTACAGTGTATTTGAATGTAAAAAATATAATAAAATTTGACACAGCACAGTGGTTTAGCAGTTACTGTTGCTGCCTCACTGCTCTTGGCTCCAAAGTTTAATTCCATCCAAGGTGCGTTTGGTATTTAGTTTGCATTCCCTCTCTGTATTTGTGTTTTCACTTGGGTCACTTGACTCTCACCTGCAGCAACTCAGAGCTTATCCGTAAAGTACAGTGTTCAATGTTCAACTAAACTTTGGACAGGGTTGCCAGTATATTGCATGGCACAAGCCATCTAGTTTAATTAGTGTCTCTAAATCTTAGCTTTTATCTGCTTGTGCCACACAATATACTGGCAACCCTGTCCAAAATATAGTTGATCATTGAACACTGTACTTTCGGGATAAGCTCTGAGTTGCTGCCTGCCTTACTGCCTTCTAGAAAGTGTGTGGAAACAATTAAAAAGGCAAGAATAACATTAAGATGTATAGTTAAAATATAGAGATTAAATCAAGGAATGTTTTGTCACTACAATATAATGCATTAATATAGCCTCTTTTAGAATATTGTGTACAATTTTGGTCACTATGACATACTGTAGAAAAGATTTTGCTGATCTGGAATCAGATCGAGATAGAGAAGATAGAGAAGATAGAAAAGAGCAAGCACATACATTCTGGTTCTTGAGGAAGTGTCCTTTACTCAAGGCTGGAGAACCTGAACCTTTTTATTCTTGAAATGATACGATTATGTAGGGACCAGTCACAAGTACTCAAAATTCTCAAATGTATTAAGTCAACCCAGTGCATTTCTTCAAAATGAGCTCTGAAACATGAACCATTGGGTACAAGTGGAAACTACTTTTATTTAAGTCCATTTAACACTAAGAACAGTAGGCAATACTTTAGCCAAAGAGCTGTGGGAGTGTAGAACAAGTTATCCAGCCATATCAAGCTGATACCCAGGACTGTATGAAATGGAAATGGCTGGATGACATCCTTGAATCAATTAGATACTATCTCCTGTGTGGGTTTGATGGGCCAAATTTTCATTTGTATTTCCATGCACTCTTTAACTTTAACATTGGAGTTACCAATTATGTCAGAAATGTTGTTCTTCTTTCTTCCTGCTCCAGCAAAAATTGCTAATAATCTAGGTAAGGCATCTTTTTGCTCTCAACAACATCAGTCAGGGATTTTAAAAAACCTCCTCTCTCATGTGTTTGAGTCCTGGTAGGTGGGCATTTAAGAAAAATATTATTCACCGCTCCCCTAAAAAAATAAAAAGAATATTAAAGTGGGAGGCACACTATTCGCCTCTGTATTGAGGCAAGTGAGATGTGGCTATTAAGTAAAAAAACAGTATGACATCTGTATGACTTTTTTGAAATCAGTATTACAGTTAAAGAATATTTTAAGGCAGCCATAATGCTTTGTCATTGCTACAGGATTATTTCTCATACTGTAATTCTAAATTAAAAAATAAAATTAAACCAAGAAGGCTGCCAGAATGTTTTAGCTTTGTCAAAATCAGTTACTCTAAGGAGGATGTTTATTACGTTTACCAGTATTTAGTGAAGAAGAATAAACAGTGCATTATCTGATGGGAAAATACTGCAAGTCTGTGTTCCTCAAGTGAGTAGTGGTACATGAATGCTTTTTGCTTGGGATACAGAGACCTTAGTTATATCATGTGCTTATTCACTACACTCCCTTAAATTATATTGGATAATTTCCATCCAACATTATTTTTGGATGAATATTTACAGTTATTATATTTATTTGGTATTTTTGGTTTTAGAGTAAAGAAGTAAAACAATTTCATTACTGTAATGCGTACACAAACACAAGTCCCAGCAGCAGGGGTGAATGACTGGGGTACATTTTTCAATCAAATGTTTCACTAGGAACAGATAAATCACTGTTATGAAGCTTTTTAAATTAATTAAATATCCATTACCTTCCCAGTCCCCGGCAGTAGACATCACCATTGTGTTTATGTAAGTCTGAGATTCTTTTGAAGTTCATTCCATATGTGGTTCCCTCAGCCAGGGAAAGGCAGGGTGACATGAGAGGTCAGTGTTTACTGTAGATTGCTCAAATGTTGGAAAGACAGGGGCACAATATAGGGCTCTACTAACAAAGTATTATTACAGCCATTTCCTAGACCACTCCTCAAACACATGTTTAGTTATTTCTGTCTTGCAACTAATAATGCTGATTATTGTAGTTCAGACCAACTTTACAATCCACAATTGTTCACAAACCCTGTATCTTTATCACTTGCTAATCTGGTTGTGTTTAATGTTTGTGATTTTTTTGTGATTGGGGAATTAACATAACAGTAATTTATCATCAAGAAGCTAATCCCTCTTTCCCTCCTGTTTCCTCCCCCCAGTACGTAAAACCATCCTCGTGAAACAAGACACTTCTCCTTCCCCTTCCTTTTTAGCCAATCATACCTAGGTAGGTGGCCTCCTCTCCCTTCCCAGACATTATACAGATGTGTGCAAGAGAACCCGTCACATACGTATCTGGAGGCAAACTCAGTAATGTTTGGTTAGTGTTTACAGCTGCCCTCCAACTTTGCAGTCTCCCCCATTGACCCACGCAATGGTAGGATCTGGAAAGATTTGTATGTATGACTTCACAAATGTTTCCATTTTTGTTTACTTTATAAAAGGGCATTTAGAAGAAAGAGAATTAACAATACATTTTAAAATACTAAAATATCCACAAGGCCAAATATGCTCAGACAGTGGACTAGAACTATAAAAGCCTCCTTCAGCCAAATGATGTTGAGTATTATATTACACAGATGTGAGAATGTGTGTAACCTGTTATCTGAAGGGTGATGGAAGGCAAAAGTGCTGTGAAAATAGGAACAAAGCAACAGCTGTCAGGTATTTTGTCCTCTGTCCCATTTACACTGACTGTTCTCTCACTCTGATTACCAGGGGATAGTTCCCACTTGTTAATATGACAAAAGAGCCCTGTTCTTGAAAATATTTCATCTCACTCCAGGAAGACTGTTAGAACGATTACAGATGAGAGAAGGTCATCGTCAGCCCATCTTGATCATTTGGTTGCTAGCAGTGAATTTATCCTAGGGTCTTATCCATCTGTTCCTTAACAAAAGCCAGGGAGCTACAAAATCATGACTGAGTAACGTATTCCAAACTCCTACTGCGCTTCAATTAAAACTGTTCTCAACTTTAAATGCACATATTTCCTGTTACATGCTCTGGCTTGTGTTTCATTGCTGTTTTTGAAGTCCATCGAGTTGACTCTGTCAGTGCCTTTGAGGACTTTGAATTTGACGTAGGAACCCTCATAGTGTTCTCTGTTCATCACTAAAAAGAATCGGTTCCTTTAACCTGTCAGTGTAGGACGTTCATTTCATTCTGGGAATATATCATGTTCATCTTCTCTGGTCTCCAGAGGAGCAATACAATTTTTGTAAAGTTGTGCCCAAGACTGGGCAGAATCTTCTAAATCAGGTTTTGCAAGTGCATTGTAAATTCTAAACATAACATCCATTGATTTAATTCTCCTTTATTAACTATATATCACAAATATATGTGATGACAATTTTAATTATGATATTGGTATTGTAATTGTGTATAGTACATAGATGAACAGAAGAGGAAAAAAATAATATGTAACATTTCCATGCTCTTAAGATGGAAAGTCTGTGGACATGTGTGCCATAATGTAGATATTGGTAAATTAAGGTTCTCGATCTGTATACTATTTTATCCATTAAACAACAATCTGTACAACAGCATACAGCAAAGTATTCAAAGGCCAAATGAGAACAAGTAAAAATTCCTTAGAGTTGAAGAGAAATTTTCAAAATAATTAAACTCTGAGGAAATTTGTCAATCCCAGATATAATCTATAAAAATATAAAAAAAGATGCAATTTAAACTACAGCAGGGTTTTTGCCACATGTACACCTTCATCAGTATGTTAGCTACAGAGCAACAAGGAATTATCTCCACTTGGGGTTTTTTGCCATATGTCAGAAAAAGTTGTACATATACAGTATGCCCGACATTTTCCAATTTAGCACAACAGGGCAGTCTTAGAGAAAAAGAAAATTCAGCAAGAAAAATTTCCTGAGATTTCCCTCAGATCTGCCTACACAATAGTCTTATAATGATTGTAAGTCAACGCAAGTGAGTCAATTAAAATAGGCACTGTACATGTGGGTACAAGAATTTGACGAGTATAATGAGTGTCCTCGTGCAAAGTATTGTAAAGACATTTTTCTCCATTAAGCAATATTTTCAGGCTGCATCCTATGCTGTCTAAATTGGATAAATTGGATAAAAATGGCTCAAAGCACTTTTTTTCAAGGATAGATTATTGCCGTGTCATGTTTGCAGGAATTTTGCAATATGCGCTTAAGTTAAAATATATTCGAATTCTGTAGCCAGAATCCTGAATTTAATCACACACAACTGATAACATTACCCATCTTACAGTTCTGCCACTCAGATTTGTGTCACGGATGTCGGAAGGGACAAACCATGGAGAGGCAGGAGAGTGGAAAAAGACCCACATGCGTAGCGGCGGAAAGGGGGATTAGCCTGGGCTCAGCAGTTCAGGAGTCGTATAGAAACCAGTGCCCTCAGGCAGCGGACGTGGGGCGACCTGGTGCTAGGTGGGTCGCAGGACATCTGAACGTAAATGCGAAGGTGAATCAGAGACCCAGAAATATATAGCCCCAGAGAGAGACGTTGATATTCAGAAGGAAGAAGTTGATATTCAGAGGTGATGATGTGGGAAGGATCTGATATAATTTTTCCTGCCTGTTTGACTATGGATTTTTCAAAGATTGTCTGCAGGGAGGGATTCTATTTCACTCCCATGACCTTCAAATCTGTCTGGATGAGGCGGGTAATTTGCGATTTTAAATGAACTGATAGATTACCAAACCACACTGTAATACCATATCTGATAATTACAGCATGGTAAAAGAGTAGCATTACTGTCACGGATGTCGGAAGGGACAAACCGTGGAGAGGCAGGAGAGTGGAAAAAGACCCACATGCGTAGCGGCGGAAAGGGGGATTAGCCCGGGCTCAGCAGTTCAGGAGTCGTATAGAAACCAATGCCCACAGGCAGCGGATGTGGGGCGACCTGGATGCTAGGTGGGTCGCAGGATATCTTAACATCAATGCTGAGCGAAGGTGAATCAGTGACCGGGAAATATATAGCCCCAGAGTGAGAGACACCAGAAGGAAACCAAAGCACAGGAAACTAGCGACAGGACAGGGTAGGAGCGCCCTCTGGCTGCAGGCGGCGTGACAATTTTAAGGTGATTTTAAAATCCCCCACTTAACATGGAATGTCTTATGTTGCATGGCTACTCAGTATCTTGTAGATGTTTTTTCTGTCAACCATTTCCTGACTTTGACCTTCTCTCAGCTGATCTTATGTGTTCCTACTGTTCGTCTTCTGAGACCTTGGGGTTCTCATCAATGTGAATGGTTCTTTCTGACTTGTCTTGTAGTGTAAGAAAAAGTGCACTACATTTATTTAAAATGAAGGCTCAAACGTCTGTTCAAGAAAATATGGAATTACCAGTACAATACGAAGAAAAAATGTACTCCTTTTTTCGAACTACACCTTTCCACAAATTCATAAATTATTGGGTGGCAATTTCGTCTCCCAACTTTCTTATATACAGCAGAGTAGGAAAATCTCACTAGCAAACTTTCCCTTCCATACAAAATCCTTGGCCTTTAATAGATGACTATATCTCTCATATTCTACCTCATATTCTGTCACTGTCTAAATTCTATGGGTGACAGGACCTTTTGTCGCTGTACCCCAAAGCATTGGAACACCACCCCAAATTAACACAGGGACTCAGTCACTCCGCACTTTTAAATGACTGGTTTTAAAAATGCTACTGTATATAGAAATAAAGGTGCTGTATGTACATAAACACAGTAAATATACACATCTACTGTCTATATTGTAATGCATACGGCCACCATTGGTTGTGAGAGCCGGCTTACCAGCGCGGTGATGTCACCGCCCTTCCCTGCGAATAGCAGGGACCACAGCCGTGGGGCTGACGGGAGGTTTCTCTTTGGCTCAGCTGGCTGGGTCCCTGTTGAGTGACGCCGGAGGCCCAGGTTTGAGTCCCCGACGGTGGGGGGCCGACCCGAGGCGGCAGCGTGAACCCCGAAGTGTTACAATATAAATAAATCAGTAAACATTAAAAAATAACTGAAACTCAAAATATGCAGTGTTATAATATCCACACAAACAAGGCAAAACCTGGCAGCAGAATTAGAAAGGCAAGCCATATAAGGCCCCAATACAACCTTCTAGATACTGTAGATAACCTACTGTACAGATTGCACTGCTATATAATACACCCTCTTCAGTGGTTACAGAAGACTCAACTTGCACAAATGTGACTTTACATAAAAGCCTCTTGTGGGACATAATAACATTTTCTCCCTGTCATAATAACATTTTCAACTCCAGTCTTGCTAGAAACGTAGTAATTTCTGTACATTATCTCACACTTTTTCATTGAAAAATAATTGCCATCATGTCAGGGAAGTGCCTTTATTATTCTTATTTATTGTGTATTTTATATTGTGTTTAATTGCAGAAGACATGTGTAAGGCAATGAAATCATCATTACTTCTTATTTCATTGCTCTCCCCAAATATAAACAGGGGAATCTTCATTCTCTCTCTGCCTCATGGACTGCTACCTGCTGATATATTCTCTTCTCTTCCTCTCCACCCTTTTCTGTGATTAGCACACTATCCTGTTAATAATAAAGGACTATGAACTCTGCTGAACCTGCAGTTCTGCTCTCCTGCCCTTCCTCATTCACTGAAACTCCCAGGGCAAGTAAATGAGGGTCTCTGCAATACCATGAATAACACTTTTCTACAGTACTGTATACTGTATGTATTCTTGCAATGGCTAAGAAAGGATCTCTTCTGACTCATATAAAAAAGACTTAAGGAACTGGACGCTCAGGTAAGCCGAGGAGTGTATTTGCACTTCCAGGCAGAACATTCAAGAACAGACCAAACCTCAAACATGCTGCAGTAGAGGCATATGAAAGCATCTCAGATTATTGCACAAAGGGTTTGGGGAGCTCAATAGGCTGCAGGCTTCATGCAGTTATTGCCACAAAGGGATATGCAATCAGTGACTGACTTCTGCTTCTGAAATGTGCTTAAAGTAATTGTATCCCAATAATCATGGTTACTTGAAATCACTGAATTGAATGCAACGTATACAGTAGTTATAGTCCAGAGCTGCAGAAACATTTAATTTAAAATAATGGAAATTGTTAATTTAGGTTAATCAGAATTCAATATTAAACCACCAATTAAACAGCCAATTGTTCAATCAATTATATTTTGTCATAGTTAACTGATCAATAATTTTTACAAACAGGATTTAGACAGATTTTAACTGATTTTCAGACAGAGGATGCCAGAATAGTATGTACAGTACTGTACAGTACATTTGCAACATCTTGGATATCTTTAGCTACTGTACATGCATCACCATTATTCTACCACTTTGTGTGATTTTGGGATATTTCTGTAAGTTTTGTCAAGAAAGGGGAAAGGGGAACCAGTAATGGCGGCAGAAGTCGAGGGGGTCTCTGTGTGGGGCAAGTGTGGTTGTTTAGTTGTTCTGTTGTGCTTTGGATTCAGCCTGTTTTGTTTTTAAAAATAGAAATAATTAAAATGTATTCCAAAAAGATATCGACAACATTATTGAAAATGAAGTACCCTTTGTCTGCAATTGTGTTGTATTCCAAGGTTTCTCTCCACCCTACTCATACTCTAATTCTATCAAGAATATATTTAAGTACAACTTTAAATATAGGGGGGAAAATATTAAACATTTTGGGTTACTGTTGTTTACTAATTCAGTACCATTAATTTCTGTCTTACTGTATATTATATTCCCAGGCAGAATGCTACTTTGGTGGATGCTGTATATGTTTCTAGTAGTAACGCAGGTACCATGCAGTGTCTCACAAAGTGGACAAGGTGATGGAGAAGATGGTTCAAGTGATCCCTTCATCACTCTGAATAGCAGTCTCACTGAAGAGATGGTAAACGACCAACGGAGGGCTCTGGAGTACAAACCAGATCCAGACGGCTGCTCTATCAACTTCAAAACGGCCCACAGAGGCCCCTGTGGAGCCTCGGGGCAACAGGTCAGGGACTGGGAGGATGAACTTACCTACCTGAAGGAGATTCTCCATGGCAACCAAGCCATTGTAGACAGCCTTACCCAGACCATTAGCTCAGAGATTGGGGAGCTGAAGTACCAGGAGGTCATCGAAGAAAGCATCATTAGTATTAAGGAAGATAACCTGAACTGTGACAAGGTTGTGAAGAAAGTCCTGTTAGAGTTGGAAACACAGTTGGAAGGAGACGAGGCAAGATCGTTGGAAGGGGTTCAGAAGTAAGTTGACTGCCTGGGCTGTAGTAGTCCAAGTGATAATTACTGTTGTCTGTCATAACACAAACAGCTTTACAAGTTAGAGATCATTCATGCCTGTTGTGCTTTCTTCCATTTAAACTGAATGGCCATTAGGGTGTCGCATTCTAAGCATAATTTTTTTGCTGAAGATAGCATTCCTGACAGTAACTTAGAATATATTAAAATGAATCCATATCCTGTTTTTCTTTGCAGAGTTAAAGAGGATTACCTGATCATTGAAGAAATGCTACATGCAGCAGAAACAACTGCCAAGAAGTTGGAGAGTACAATTCAACCTCTGTATTCTTCCCTGACAAAGCAATCTTTAAAGGGTCTCTCTGGCCGCAATTAACACTTCTTAATTTTATACAGTATACTGTATGTCCCAGACCAAACAAATAATTCTGTAGAATCCAAGTTTGTTCTTTATCAACCAGATAACATTTTACAATTCCAAACTGTTGATCAAAACAAATTAAATGCAATTTTGATGGAGTGCCTGGTTTTAGGTAAAGTTTTTTGCATGCATTTAAATGGACTGTAGCTCCATAAATTCCGAAACATGCGTCCTTTTCCTAAATAAATAGAGCCTATAAAATGTGTTTGTTTTTTCCATATCAAATTCATAAAGCACACTTTAACTTAATTTAATGGTGGAGCAGTGGTTGGACTTGCTGTCTTGGAGAGCTGTGACTTGGGTTCAATTCTGGAACTGGGGTGCTTTCTGTGTGGTTTCCCTGGTTACTCCGGCTTCCTCCCACAGTCCAAAGACCTACTGGTAGGTCTTCAATTGGCTTCTGGGAAAATTGGCCCTGGTGTGAGTTTATGGACAGGCATGTCATCCAGGGTATATCGTGCTTTGTGCCTGTTGCTTGCTGAGATATGCTCCAGCTCCCCCGCCATCCTGTACTGAACAAAACCGTTAGAAAATGGATGGATGAATGTACTGTATCTTGTCTTTTCAAGAACAACAGCTCCTCCCTTTTACAAATCTGTATTTGTAAAATAATCTGTATTTGTTATAGATTTTATCACTATCATCACTATTTTTAAGGACTTCTGGTAAAACGAGCCAATTATTTTTAAAACAATACTGCAGCTGCATAAGTAAAGTTGTGGTGAAGACTGTTAGTTTTGGGAATTTCATTACTACTTTCAATGATAAAATAAAGTCTTACTCCTTACAGCAATTTCTAAGTTAAAAAACACTTTAAATTACAGTAAGAAAACCATTTAAAATTTAAAATAGATAAGAAAAATATGTTGTTTTACATAATAGGTAAGAAATGTCATTTGTTTTTCACCATACAGTACATCGGCATGCTTTTAATGCCTGGCTAAGGTTAGGGTCACAACAGAATTTTGCCCGAAGATACACTTCTAGCTGCACTTTAAATGACAAAATGAAGAGAGTTTACCCCTCAGAACAGGTATTCTTCACACTTTTCATCTGGCTCACTTTTGGGATCAAATCAATGAATGGGGCAATATACTGAAAGGTGGCCAAAAGTGTCTGAAAACGAAAAGTGCAGATAGGAGTAAATTACCACTCATCCTAAAGATAACTGGGGCCCCCGAATGCAGTACTGAAAGTAAAAAAGTTCTACGTAGTGTGGGATCGCTAACCCTAACCCTTGCTAGGGTTGAAAAGTGTACATTCCTACAGGGTGTCTCAGAAGCCCTCCAATCATGAGATTTGAATTTCTTTCTCAAACCCAAAAATATAAGTCTTAAACAACCCAAATGCTTTTCAAAACCTCTTGGAAATGTATCTTCTTTAATAATCTGTTTTGTTTAGGCACATTTTCATTGAGGTGAAAAATGCTGCCAAATGGTACATACATCGGCATGCTTTTAATGCCTGGCTAGGGTTAGGGTTAAAAGAACCATAGAATTGTGCCCAAAGTTATGCTTCTCGCTGCACTTTAAAGGACAAAATGAAGAGAGTATACCCCTTAGAACAGGTATTCTTCACACTTTTCATCTCGCTCACTTTTGGGATCAAATCAATGAATGGGGCAATATACTGAAAGGTGGCCAAAAGTGTCCAAAAACTAAAAGAGCATATAGGAGTAAATTATCACTTATCCTAAAGATAAATGGGGCCCCTGAATGCAGTACTGACAGTAAAAAACTTCTACGTAGTGTGGGATCGCTAACCCTAACCCTAGCTAGGGAAGAAATGTGTACATTCCTGCAGGGTGTCTCAGAAGCCCTCCAATAATGAGATTTGAATTTTTAACTCAAATCAAAAAATATAAGTCTCAAACAGCCCAAACGCTTTTCCAAACCTCTTGGAAATGTATCTTCTTTAATAATCTGTCTTCTTTAGGCA